TGGTTAAACTGTATATTTTATGTGTGTTGAGTGTTAATCAGGTTGTACATCGTCGGAGCATAAAATGAGCAAAAAGACAGAATTTGGACAGAGTTGACTTTCCCGCACGTGCGTTGACTTTTTCCGCACTTTCCCGCACGTGCGTTGACTTTTTCCGCACGTGCGTTGACTTTTTCTGGAAAAGTCAAACCGACGTTTTCAACCTGTTTGGACGAGATTGGAAGTATAAAAAGGCAAGTAAAAGGCTGGATTAGGGTTCGGAAGTTGTTTTGACCAAAAGAGGGAGGCTAGGGTTTTGAAGAGAAGAGAAACAAAAAGCTTCAAGGATGTCTCCCATGGTGGTTTCTTCTCCATCTACCTCATTTCACTCCTCCATGAGTGGCTAGTCTCCTTTTTCTGGGGTTTTGATGAAGCCCTAGCCATGTAATTATTTAGTTTTCTTTTTGATTTTTAATTATGTAAAGGTTTGAACATTTGTATGGTGATTTAGAAGTTTGTTTTATATAATTTTCATTATTCTTTCGAATATTTGACTTTCTGTGATTCTTAAATGTTATCCATACAATTTTTTTCTTTTCCTTCACGTTCAAGGTATGGGACGAACCATACTACGAGGAACGAGTCGTATCACTACCTTAGTTTAGAGTGAACGGTTCGTATTACTTGAGATTGTTCGTGCTCGTACATTGAATGTGATGATCTTTTTGTTAAATGCTTTGAGCTTGTAGTTGCAAAGCATTAATCCGTTCAAACCATAGCATAATTGATTTCAATTGGAAACCCTAATTATGTGGTTAGTGGTGAATTCTCTACCTTAGGATTTTTCCCTAATACAGTAAACCCAATTTCATTTATTATTGATAATTTAATTCCTTAGTTTAATTTATTCGTTATTAAATTAGGTTATAAACAACCAATCTTTTTGTCAAAATTAATTTAGGAATTTGACAATTAAATTAGTTTAATTTCACAATAGTCCCTGTGGATCGATACCTGGACTTGCCATTATTCTGATAGAATTTGGTATAGTTTAGTATTTAATTTTGGTGTGTTCAACGATCCATCACATATGTCGCTAAAAATTAATATTTAGTGACTTTTTTTGTCATGATTTTTATAAATTATCACTAAAACTTACAATTAGTGATTTTTTGTGATGAATTTTTTAACTGTCGTTGAAAATTGAAAATTAGTGACTTTTTTGTGACGCTTTTTTTAAACTGTCGCTAAAATTTATAATTAGTGAAATATTTTGTGACAAAATTTTTAAATTGTCTTTGAAAATTAACAATTAGTGACTTTTTTTAATATGTTTGATGAAAAATGCCATCAACATTATATATTAATACTATTTATAATAGTACTAATCTTCTGGTGTACAAATAAATACTCTTTATCCTACATCTATAATTTTTTTTTTTTATAGGCAAAAGAAAGACTTTATTGATGATAAAAGCATACAGAGTATGAAAAATTACATCAATAAAGAGGAGCTTGGAGCTAAAAAAGCTTCAACCTCCTAGTTGGTAAGAGACCAACAACGAAAAATAATGAAGCAAAACAGGACAAACAGAGTGAGCTCCAAACCTCCTCACAATGCAACTCCAAAACCAGTTCATACCAGACACCAAATTGACCAGAACACAAAAAAGACCAACTTCAAAAGGGTATAACAGCCAACAAACCAGAGACAAAAATACACCATTCTAGAAGTATAACAGAACAGCTTTCAACAAATCAACATAACAGAAGCCCATAGAGTTTTCCTAATCTGCAGATGAGAAATTCAACCCATATACGAGAAGCATAATAGTCTAACAGATCAGTCTACCGATAGAAAGCAACTGAATGCATTCAACAGAACACTATGGCAGATAGGTAGCAAAGTGAAAGCTTTCAACAGAACAGACTAACAAGGAGTCAACTGAACACCACCCAACTGAGAGCATCTGAAAGCATGCATCAAAACAATGAAGCTGCCAGAAAGAACTAAAAAACATCACTTAAACATCTCCCAAACATAACAGAACATCACCCAAGTAGCAGACTAGCAGAACTAACAGAAACATCACCCAAGCATAAGCAGCCGAGATATAAACTCAATAGCAACAAATAATTTGCCTCCAATTGAGAACAACATCAACCATTGAGAAAGGAAAGTCCTTGAGAGAGTTTTTAAGCCAGAAAGCTAATCTGAACTTAATGAGATCCCACAGTTTAGCTGGGCTCGGACTAGCATTGGTGAAGACACATTCATTTCTATGCTTCCAGAGTGACCATAGAACTACAAGTGGAATAGCTCTCCAAAATTTCCTGAGTGGACTCTTAAATTTGACGCCCATTCACCAGTTGAGAAGATCTGCCACTGAATCTGGGATGCACCATTGAAGCCTTCATTCAAACAACACATGAGACCAGATGGACCAAGAGAATGGGCAATGGAGTAAAATATGTTGAGTAGATTCAAGGGCAGAATTGCAGAATGAACAGTAGGTGAAGGCAGAGAGACCAAGGATGCCAAGGTTTTGCAAGAAAACATCAGTTTTGATTCTATTTTTCCAGGCCAGCCACCCAAAGACAATAAAGAGCCACAACAGTTTTGATTCTATCAGCAGTTTTGATTCTATTCTACATCTACAACTTAATACCACCACAACATTAATATCCTTATTCAATCTCACAGTACTTTTAATCATTTCCATCTTATGAAACTAAACAAACATAGCCTATATGTAGAGACGGACCTAAAGACAATAAAGAGCCACTACAACAAAAAATATTTTTGGTGACATTTTTTAGCAACCAAATTGAAATTAGTCGCCAATTTTATGTGATCGGTGACAATTTAATTGTTAGTCGCCAAAAATTACACTATTGGCGACGAGTTAAGATTTTTAGTCGCTAAAAGGTTTGGCGCCAAATTAATTTTTTGGGCGGGAGCGCCAAAAATATTTTCGCGACCAAATTAACATATTGCGACGAAATTTTGGTCGCCGATTGTAAATTTTTGGTGACAGAAATGAAATAGTCACGGAAAAGATGAACGGTACTTATGGCAACCGAAGGATTTTTGTCGCCAATAAGTTAGCAAAAGAAACTACGTCGTTTTGCATTTTTCAGATTTTTTTTTTTAAAGACTGGACCGACCCTTTTACTGAATAAACAAATAAGCTCTAACTCTCACTCTCCCTCTCCCTCTCCCTCTCACTCTCTCACACCGCCTCCTCCTCCTTTTCGTCTTCATCTCTTTTCCTCTCGCTCTCTCTCGCCACCGATTGATTTCCACCGACGGCATTCACTTCTCTCTCTCTCTCTGATATTTTGAAGACATATATATATATATATATATGAGTATATGATAAATATATGATAGATTGTTGTTTTAAAATCTGTCTTCAAGGATTTATATATATATATATATGAGTATATGATAGATTGTAGTCCTAAAATCTGTCTTGAACGATTTATATATATATATATATATTAAAATCTATCTTTTAAATATATGAGTAGAGACAGATTTTAAAATCTGTCTTTTAATTTTTCCCCCCTTTTATTGGAATATGTTGCTCTTTTAAAGTTTTAACTAAATGCACTTTTATCTACAATGAATTTGAAATTGATTGATTTTTCTTCAAGCATGGAGTGATCTTGTGAGTGAACCCATTGTATTGTTTGTACCAGAATTATCCTATTTATGTATGCTGTAATGCAATTAACTAGGACTGAGAACCCATTGTATTGTCCATCTCCCTCTACAGATGGGCATAGGTCTCTCACTCTACAAATGCTATCTCAATCTGTCCATCTCCCTCTCTCTCTTTGTCTCTCATGGCGATTTCAAGGTCCCGAACCAAAACCCTAAATTTTCCCCCTTTTTTTCTAGATTGGAACTTGGAAGATCTTCACCATTCTTAGAAAAAGTTAGAACTTTGTTTTTTTTTGTTCTTAGCAGACCATTACCCCTCTCTCACCATTCTTGGGATTTTGGTGAATGGTTTGGCTATTTCACCTATGTATCTAGCTATCGTCTATACTTTCATTTTTTCTATGTTAGTTTGAAGGGCATCCCCTGCCCTGGTTTGGTTTCAGTGAGTAATGTGAAGCAGTACACTTGAGAACTAATATTAATAAGACTTATACTAATATGCACTTTTACAACTTATATTAATGAGAATTATTTATGATGACATTGACTCAGAATTTTCATTATATCTATAGGTGTCCCGTGTGGTATGATTTCTATAGGACAAAATGATATGTTTATAGAAGTAATTATGCATTGGCTTCTGGATATTGCGCCTCACTTTCACTGTTTCATGCATATTAAGTGCCATTATTTGTATTTATTTTGTGGTTCACATGCTTTAATACATTATTTTGTGTTTGAAGAATATAAAGTCCTATTTATTGTGTACAGAGGATGGTTAGTGATTTTTATATATTGCCAGCTAAATTAGTCATTCCTTCAGAGAATGAGTGGTTTTTCTTTTCTTCTCGTGGAAGGAAGTACCCAAATGGCTCACAAAGTAAGAGAGCAACTGAATCTGGCTATTGGAAAGCCACTGGGAAAGAACGAAATGTGAAGTTAGGATCTAATTTGATTAGCACAAAAAGGACACTGGTGTTCCACACAGGTTGTGCACCAAAAGGGGAGCGGACAAAATAGATAATGCATGAGTATTGTATGAATGGAAATCCTCAGGTGATGGTGTTAATACTTTTTGACAATATTTTATATTCTCATAGATGGTTTGGTTATTTCACCTATGTATCTACCTATGTATCTTAGGCATTAATTAGTTTTTACTTTTTTAATTAGTACATAGGCAAAATTATAATTCTATTAGATGGACTAAACAACACTAGTCATTATTGTTTTTTTTATTATTATTATTATTATTTATTTGAATAACTAAACTATTTTCAGCAGCAAAGAGTAAACACAAATATTGCAGATGGCTATGATGCTCTGAATCTGGGTGTGGGTGCTAATAGCCTTTGGTTGTTTTTATTTGTGGTGTTTGGCTTGGGGTTTGATCTTGTAGTTGAAGGTTGGTAATGGTGAAGATTGCATACCTCGTAATGGATGATGGAATTTTAACAAGGTATTCCCTTGGTTTCGTTATAATAATGGAAGATAAGTGTTCCAACTTTAGGTGAAGGGTTGTAGAAATTAATAATTCTTTTACATTCCCTATTTTGCTTAAATTCAGCAACTTTGTGAACTAATTTGGCAGTTACTTGTTCTTGTTTTATTCTTTTAAAGCAACTCTTCACCCCCATCCGAATAGAACGGTGGGAAGTTGTCAACTTCTCTGCTCATTGTGATACAAGTCATCTTTCCCGAGGACTTATTAACTGTGGAAGGAACAAGGGCATTGTAAGTACCCTGTATTTGTTTCTATGATGGGTATTATTGTTTCAAACAAGCTTTGTTTGATATAATTAATTGTTTTCTTTACATTCAGAATATTCCTTTTTGTCTGGAAGGAAGAACATTAGAATCCTTGATTTTTTTTAAAATTTTTTTTTTTTACTATAATGCAATGTTGGTTGTAGGCATTAGGCTCAGGATAAGTGGGTTTGTGTTTGCTTCATGATCCAAGCATCATAGTTTTTGGGCTGCTGCGGTTTTGACAAGTTTCTAGTTATGCACTGGACTTCTTTGTGGCAAGGTCTCAGAGAGGGATTTTGGGATTTTGGACTTGTTTTGTTTGTACTTAGCTCTTGTAAGTGTTGAATAGATCTAGGTCATCCATTTTTGTGGGGCCCAAAAATGGGTTACCCAGATCTGTTTGTGACATGGCCTCTTCAGATTTTTGATTTTTGGATCTGTTGTCTTTTAAAATGAGGCCTTTGGCTGGCTTGTTTGTGTTTCTTCCTCTATTTGGTTGATTGATTGATTAAATCCGTGTCAACAATCTTGAGATATAAATGTTAGTTTAATGTGTGCAGGAGGTAAATAAAGATGTGGGCAAGTTTTAGGTTATTACAGACGGGTACGATATCTACTAGAGATGAGCTCTTTTTTTGACTCTTGTGCATCTAGATATTTGTAACACTATTCGATATGAATCTATTTCTTGTTGGATTTCATTTGATATTTAAAATGGCATTCTTAATGGATAGGATGTGCTCTTTCAAGTTCATTGGTTGACAGCGATGCTAACCAATTTCTTATTCTCTATGGCAAGAGACTCCATGTGAGCTACTAAGGTATTTGGTCTCATGTCTTGCATTTTATGAAATATCCATGTTGGCGTGTCACATGTTGTATCCTGTCTTTGTCTGTGCTTGTGTCCTTGCTTCTTAGCTCTACTGTTAATCATTTTTTTCCTAGTTTCAGTTTCATCAATGTAGCAGATTCTAATGTTGTATCTACTGAATGGGAAGTTGAGAGTGATGATGAAAGTGAGGAAGAATCTGAATGTAAGTTTCTTAAAACCAGAATGTGGCAGATCCTGTGCACTTTCTTATTGGCTATTCCCCTTTTGTAATATTATTTATTTGAATATTAGATATACTTTCCTTTTATTCAGCTCCACTTCTATCTTCATTACCTTCTTCCAGGTCTTATTTAACATTTATCCTGTTGACTTGTAATTTTTCTTTTGAATTCCACTACATGTTGTATGCCTTCCAAATTATTTTCAAGCCTTCTTTGGGTGCATTAGTATTTGGCATTAGCATAAATGCACCTGAAGCTTCATTTGTTGTTTTCTCTCGTATCTTTGTGTTAGTAAAAAAAATATAACTATAAAGATGTGATGCCTGGGTTGCAAATTGTTCTTTTTCTTACTGGTTTTCTGTTTTATCAGTTCAGTTGACTTGTGACTTTTTGCATATTATTGTCCTTATGGTTTTGGTTCCACTTCCTGATATAATTTATGGTATTTGCTGTGTGGTGTCTTGGTTTCTTTTGTGAAGATACTCTAATATTACTTGATTTTGCTTTAATGTCAAGAGTAAGAAATGCTGCTTTGAAGTTATAATTAATCGTAAAAATAAAAATAAAATTCAGTTTATTATTTATGTTTTGTTGTAATAGTTCATAAAAGCTCTGCAAGAGGATCCGTCAGCATTAAAAATACTCACTCAAAGTTGAACTTTACTCATTTCCTCACCTGCAGAATTTTCTTCTTCAAGCTATGTCTCTTAACTGCTGTCTTCAATTTTTTGTTTGCCCTAGGTGGGTTAACAACTTTGGTTGACATGCCTCTTAACAGTTTTCCATCTACAGGTTCTAAAGAGACTTTTGAAACTCAACTTTGGTTGACATGCCTCTTAACAGTTTTCCATCTACAGGTTCTAAAGAGACTTTTGAAACTCAACTTTGGTTGACATGCCTCTTAACAGTTTTCCATCTACAGGTTCTAAAGAGACTTTTGAAACTCAACTTTGGTTGACATGCCTCTTAACAGTTTTCCATCTACAGGTTCTAAAGAGACTTTTGAAACTCAACTTTGGTTGACATGCCTCTTAACAGTTTTCCATCTACAGGTTCTAAAGAGACTTTTGAAACTCAACTTTGGTTGACATGCCTCTTAACAGTTTTCCATCTACAGGTTCTAAAGAGACTTTTGAAACTCAACTTTGGTTGACATGCCTCTTAACAGTTTTCCATCTACAGGTTCTAAAGAGACTTTTGAAACTCAACTTTGGTTGACATGCCTCTTAACAGTTTTCCATCTACAGGTTCTAAAGAGACTTTTGAAACTCAACTTTGGTTGACATGCCTCTTAACAGTTTTCCATCTACAGGTTCTAAAGAGACTTTTGAAACTCAACTTTGGTTGACATGCCTCTTAACAGTTTTCCATCTACAGGTTCTAAAGAGACTTTTGAAACTCAACTTTGGTTGACATGCCTCTTAACAGTTTTCCATCTACAGGTTCTAAAGAGACTTTTGAAACTCAACTTTGGTTGACATGCCTCTTAACAGTTTTCCATCTACAGGTTCTAAAGAGACTTTTGAAACTCAACTTTGGTTGACATGCCTCTTAACAGTTTTCCATCTACAGGTTCTAAAGAGACTTTTGAAACTCAACTTTGGTTGACATGCCTCTTAACAGTTTTCCATCTACAGGTTCTAAAGAGACTTTTGAAACTCAACTTTGGTTGACATGCCTCTTAACAGTTTTCCATCTACAGGTTCTAAAGAGACTTTTGAAACTCAACTTTGGTTGACATGCCTCTTAACAGTTTTCCATCTACAGGTTCTAAAGAGACTTTTGAAACTCAACTTTGGTTGACATGCCTCTTAACAGTTTTCCATCTACAGGTTCTAAAGAGAACCATGTTTTTGTCTTCTAGCCGATCTGTGTTAGTTTTTTATGGCCCACCGAAATACAGATAGAACTTTTTTTTGGTTTGTAAGTACCCTGTATTTGTTTCTATGATGGGTATTATTGTTTCAAACAAGCTTTGCTTGATATAATTAATTGTTTTCTTTACATTCAGAATATTCCTTTTTGTCTTGAAGGAAGAACATGAGAATCCTTGATTTTTTTTTTTTTTTTCTTTTTTTTACTATAATGCGATGTTGGTTGTAGGCATCAGGCTCAGGATAAGTGGGTTTGTGTTTGCTTCATGATCCAAGCATCATAGTTTTTGTGTTGCTGCGGTTTTGACAAGTTTCTGGTTATGCACTGGACTTCTTTGTGGCAAGGTCTCAGAGAGGGATTTTGGGATTTTGGACTTGTTTTGTTTGTACTTAGCTCTTGTAAGTGTTGAATAGATGTAGGTCATCCATTTTTGTGGGGCCCAAAAATGGGTTACCCAGATCTGTTTGTGACATGGCCTCCTCAGATTTTTGATCTTTGGATCTGTTGTCTTTTAAAATGAGGCCTTTGGCTGGCTTGTTTGTGTTTCTTCCTCTATTTGGTTGATTGATTGATTAAATCCATGTCAACAATCTTGAGATATAAATGTTAGTTTAATGTGTGCAGGAGGTAAATAAAGATGTGGGCAAGTTTTAGGTTATTACAGACGGGTACGATATCTACTAGAGATGAGCTCTTTTTTTGACTCTTGTGCATCTAGATATTTGTAACACTATTTGATATAAATCTATTTCTTGTTGGATTTCATTTGGTATTTAAAAATGGCATTCTTAATGGATAGGATGTGCTCTTTCAAATTCATTGGTTGACAGCGATGCTAACCAATTTCTTATTTTCTATGGCAAGAGACTCCATGTGAGCTACTAAGGTATTTGGTCTCATGTCTTGCATTTTATGAAATATCCATGTTGGCGTGTCACATGTTGTATCCTGTCTTTGTCTGTGCTTGTGTCCTTGCTTCTTAGCTCTACTGTTAATCATTTTTTTCCTAGTTTCAGTTTCATCAATGTAGCAGATTTTGACGTTGTATCTACAGAATGGGAAGTTGAGAGTGATGATGAAAGTGAGGAAGAATCTGAATGTAAGTTTCTTAAAACCAGAATGTGGCAGATCCTGTGCACTTTCTTATTGGCTATTCCCCTTTTGTAGTATTATTTATTTGAATATTAGATATACTTTCCTTTCATTCAGCTCCACTTCTATCTTCATTACCTTCTTCCAGGTCTTATTTAACATTTATCCTGTTGACTTGTAATTTTTCTTTTGAATTCCACTACATGTTGTATGCCTTCCAAATTATTTTCAAGCCTTCTTTGGGTGCATTAGTATTTGGCATTAGCATAAATGCACCTGAAGCTTCATTTGTTGTTTTCTCTCGTATCTTTGTGTTAGTAAAAAAAATATAACTATAAAGATGTGATGCCTGGGTTGCAAATTGTTCTTTTTCTTACTGGTTTTCTGTTTTATCAGTTCAGCTGACTTGTGACTTTTTGCATATTATTGTCCTTATGGTTTTGCTTCCACTTCCTGATATAATTTATGGTATTTGTTGTGTGGTGTCTTGGTTTCTTTTGTGAAGATACTCTAATATTACTTGATTTTGCTTTAATGTCAAGAGTAAGAAATGCTGCTTTGAAGTTATAATTAATCGTAAAAATAAAAATAAAATTCAGTTTATTATTTATGTTTTGTTGTAATAGTTCATAAAAGCTCTGCAAGAGGATCCGTTAGAGTTAAAAATACTCACTCAAAGTTGAACTTTACTCATTTTCTCACATGCAGAATTTTCTTCTTCAAGCTATGTCTCTTAACTGTTGTCTTCATTTTTTTTGTTTGCCCTAGGTGGGTTAACAACTTTGGTTGACATGCCTCTTAACAGTTTTCCATCTACAGTTTCTAAAGAAACTTTTGAACTCAAGGTATGGATGGTTGAACTCAACTTTGGTTGACATGCCTCTTAGCTTCACTTTTTAATTAGGTAGTTAGAAACTTAGCTTCACTTTCATATTCTTATTGTACAAAAACTTGACCAACTATTTCCTTTTCTTCTTATCTTTTTTCCATCTACATAACAGATCAAGGCTGCGGCAAAGAGGATCTATGTTGATGTTGGTATGCTCTTAGAACTATATATGAGAAATCTCATATTTTAATCACTTGTTTTAATCATGGTAAGGCTGTGCTGCAATGTTAGTAAATAGACTTGCAGGAATAAACGGGATCTCGATTAGATCTCTGGTTAGAAAATTATAAGGAAAATTGTAAAACACAAGACTTAAAATGCCCGTTCGGGGGCCGAAATTTTGAAATGACCACCGAAACCACCAAAACTTGGCACGGACAGCCTTTTGAAGCCTAAATAGACTTGTAGAAACAAACGGGACTTGTATTGGATTTCCGGTTAGAAAATAAGAAGGAAAGTTGTAAAACACAAGACTAAAAAGGCCCGTTCGGGGGGCCGAAATTGCGAAATAACCACCGAAACCACCGAAACTTGGCACGAACAGCTTTTTCAAGCCTAAACAGACTTGTAGGAACAAACGGGACCTCGATTGCATTTCTGGTTAAAAAATTAGAAGGAAAAATATAAAACACAAGGCTTAAAAGGCCTGTTCGAAGGCCGAAATTTCGAAATGACCACTGACGCCACCGGAACTTGGCATGGACAACCTTTTGAAGCCTAAATAGACTTGTAGGAACAAACGGGACCTCTATTGGATCTCCAGTTAGAAAATTAGTAGGAAAGTTGTAAAACACAAGACTAAAAAGGCCCGTTCGGGGGCCGAAATTGCGAAATGACCACCGAAACCACCGAAACTTGGCACGGACAACTTTTTCAAGCCTAAACAAACTTGTAGGAACAAACGGGACCTCGATTGCATTTTCGGTTAAAAAATTAGAAGGAAAAACGTAAAACACAAGGCTTAAAAGGCCCGTTTAGGGGCCGAAATTCCGAAATGACCACTGAAACTACCGAAACATGGCACGGACAGCCTTTTGAAGCCTAAATAAACTTGTAAGAACAAACGGGACCTCTATTAGATCTCCGGTTAGAAAATTAGAAGGAAAATTGTAAAACGCAAGACTAAAAAGGCCCGTTCAGGGGCCGAAATTGCGAAATGACCGCTAAAACTACCGAAACTTGGCACGGGCAGCTTGTTCAAGCCTAAATAAACTTGTAGGAACAAACGGGACCTTGATTGGATCCTCGGTTAGAAAATTAGAAGGAAAATTGTAAAACACAAGACTTAAAATGCCCATTCGAGGGCCGAAATTCCAAAATGACCATCGAAACTTGGCACGGACAGCTTGTTCAAGCATAAATAGACTTGTAGAAACAAACGGGACCTCGATTGGATCTCCGGTTAGAAAATTATAAGGAAAATTGTAAAACACAAGACTTAAAATGCCTGTTCGGGGGTCGAAATTGCGAAATGACCACCGAAACTTGGCACGGATAGCTTGTTCAAGCCTAAATAGACTTGTAGGAACAAACAGGACCTCGATTGGATCCCCGGTTAGAAAATTAGAAAGGAAATTGTAAAACACAAGACTTAAAAGTCCCGTTCGGTGGTCGAAATTGCGAAATGACAACCGAAACCACCGAAACTTGGCACAGACAGCTTGTTCAAACCTAAATAGACTTGTAGGAATAAACGGGACCTCGATTGGATTTCTGGTTAGAAAATTACAAGAAAAAATGTAAAACACAAGACTTAAAATGCCCGTTCGGGGGCCGAAATTTCGAAATGACCACCGAAACCACCGAAACTTGGCACGGATAGCCTTTTCAAGCCTAAATAGACTTGTAAGAACAAACGGGATCTCTATTGGATCTCCTGTTAGAAAATTAGAAAAAAAATTGTAAAACACAAGACTTAAAAGGCCTGTTCGGGAGTTAAAATTGCGAAATGACCACCGAATCCACCAAAACTTGGCACGGACAATTTGTTCAAACTTAAATAGACTTGTAGGAACAAATGGGACCTCGATTGGACCTCGATTGGATTTTCAGTTAGAAAATTACAAGAAAAAATGTAAAACACAAGACTTAAAAGGCCGTTCGGGGGCCGAAATTGCAAAATGACCACTGAAACCACCGAAACTTGGCACGGGCAACTTGTTCAAGCCTAAATAGACTTGTATGAGCAAACAACACCCGATTGGACTTCCCGTTATAAAATTAAAATCAAAATTGTGAAATTCATATCGATGTTTTTTTTTTTTTTGGTCAATCTAATTTTGTTTTTTCTTTTTTCATTTGACAGATTGACAATGGTGGAAAATAGTTCGGGCTACATCAGAAGATTTGATTTTGTGTTTTTGGAAATATTTTGACATAGGATTTTGGTAAATGATTTATGGATTAAATGTTTAGCATCAAAATATTTAGTTTTGTGTTTTTGAAAATATTTTGACATAGGATTTGGTAATGTATTTATGGGTTTAATGTTAGTAGTTTGTAAGTACTTTGGTATGCATGTTTTAGATTGTCAGAGAATTGTAATTGTGTTTATTGGGATTTTTCATAGCTATTAATTTTGAATTAGTATGAATGTTTTGCACAGGCGTATTATTATTTACATTACATTTGTGTATATATTGTGCACAGGAAAACATGTGTTTTGAATTATTTTGAACAGGAAAATTATTAAAATCAAAATTTGTGTAGCGAATTTTTAGTGATAGGTGGTGTTTTTGTCGCTGTTAATATATTTGGCGACAACATATTGTTTTTGTCGCTAAAAGTTAGTGGTTATTCCAAGAACTTTTAGCAACCAAAACTTACTTGTCGCTAAAAACGTGATTTTTAGCGACCAAATTAATTTTGTCATTAAATAGTACTTTCGGCGACGCATTTATTTGTCGCTAAAACTATATAGCCTATCCAAATTTTAACCTTTTAGAAACAAACTGTAATTTTATAGCGACAAAATATATGATTTTTGGCGACTAATTTTGCTTGTCGCTAAATGTCTACATACGGTGACAATTTCTAATTTCATCGCCAATACTTTTATTTGTCGCTAATAATTTATATTTTGGATACACTAGATGAGAGGGATAAATCCAATTGCCGATTTCTTAGTGAGATTTACGATTCTATTAATTATCTAACCATTACATGATAGTTTACATCCAATAGACAAAAAAAAATTTACTTATATTTTGACTCCCTTGAAGATAAAATTCTAATTTTGTCCTTGCCTGTATCATATTCTAGGACGATATAATAATTGCAAGCAAACTTAATGGCTTGAGGAGACTATTGGATTGTAATACTGCACCATATTTAAAGAAAAGCATGAATTATATCATTAGTTTTTAAGTGAAGTTACTTTAGTTTCTATAATTTTAATTTAAGCAATTTAAATCTTATATTTTTATTTTTATTACTCCTACAATATGGACTAAAGAGAAATTCAGAAGTAACTACAGAAACTTTATTTTAAATTTCACTTTGGTCTTGTTATTTTTGAATTTAACTTTTTTCATTCAAAATTTTAATAATAAATAAAAAAAAGAGTACATTATAATAAAATTAAGGATAAATTACAAATACATCTCCTGAGGTTTGCTTAAAATACGAATTGTTTCATGTAATTTCAAAAATTAGAAATACCTCTCTATCATAATTTTTTCTTTAACATAATCAATTGAAAAAAAAAAATTAACTATTCTCCTATAAATAAAATTATTTAAGTTATTAATTAAAATAAAATTTTAACATCATTAAAGATTGTTAATTAACTTGATGATTTATTAATAAAAGGATATATTTGTTATGAAATTTGAAATGTTTAAGGACATAATGTAATTTTTAAAACCATAAGAGTAATTTATAATTTAAGTAAATCTTAGAGATGTGTTTGTAATTTATTCTAAAATATATAAATGTAAAATGTAAAATGTAAAATTATTAAAATTAAAATTAAACAAAATGAAATTTCACTTACACTAGAGGATCACATTGTTGGAAATGGTTATAAAATTCTGGATAAAACCAGAATTTTTTCCTAAGTTCTTTTAAATACAGTGAAGATTGTCCTACACACATTGCTACCGTAAAGAAAATGAGGAACCATATAAGGGTGAGAGTTGAGAAAAAAAATTAGCAGCACATGAAATATACACATCTACATTTTTAAAATCTTTCATTTACACCCTAATACAAATACACTTGCACATTTTATGTGTTTATAATTTTTCTTTACAACTTAGCCTTCGTTTGACATGTCAAAAAACTTGATTTTTTTTTACTATTTTAACTATAAAAAAAATAAAATAAGTTAAAAAATTAATAAAATAAAATGTCACATCTAAATCATAATCATTTTATTTTTTCTTTCATAAAAATTAAAAAAAACAAAAAAATTTATCCTAACTAAAATTTTTTAATCCTAAATTAAAATAATTAAAAAATCAAAAAATCAGCCCCAAGTCCCAAACCAACCTTTTAGTTCTTCCAAAAGAGAATCATAGGTCCATCCTGGCCATTCTAATAGGATGATCTACAGAGTCAGGGAATCATGACCGTTCATTTAAGATCTGATTCATTTAATATGTGTGGATAATTATTGATAATGATATGACCAATCATCGTCCAAAAAGTTACGCTATTATTAGTAGTAGTTGTACAGTTTTCATTCATTCAGCCGATTTTGCCTGCGACTTGTCAGGAAATAACGGCCTTAAATTGAATGCGTTTTAGTGGCCGGACTGACGGTACCGTTTCGCCACGTTGCCAGTTTCAAACTTCTGTTATTAAAACCTCAACAACAGAGAAACTCGGAGATAATAAAAATTAGATTATCAAACGATCTTCTTTAAATGAAGTACAATCAGCTTGTTTGGTTTTCATTTTTTAAAATAGTTTTTAAAAAATTTTATTTTTTTATTTTTTATGTTTTTTTATTTTTAATGAATTTTTTTAATATTTTATGTAAATATTTTTACATTTTAGACACACCTAACATAAATACACTTAAAAAGTAAAAAAATTATAAAAAAATCTTTTAAAAATTCACTAAATATCAAAAATACAAAAAAAAATACAAGAATTCAGTACATTTTTTGTATTTTTATATATTTCTTAATTTTTTAAAATATTTTTTCATAATTTTTTTTACTTTTTAGATACATCTAAGTAAGGTGCATCTAAAAAAGTAAAAAATATTTAAAATT